GAAGTGCTTCCTAATGTATCTCGAGCAACAAATCAGTGTATCTGCTGTCAAGATAAACTTGTTTCACCAAAAGACTGAGAATTTATCATAGTTATCCATTATATGGAAAGCAATTAAAAGTTCTAAACTTTCTACTATAGAATAAAGTAGAAGAAAATGTTTTTCTTATTTTTGTTGTACAACTTAAAATGTAGAAGAATGAAGTTATATGTTGAAAATAATATGTAATAAATTGTCTTCCTAACTTTTGATGTCCCATACTTTTTTGAATCAAATGTATTAATTGATGGCTGTGTTATAACCCACCCCTGAGGTGGGATAGCTGAGGTTCTTGTTAATAGATCCCTTGGGGTGGATTGGAGTGAAATGATGCTGAATGACTGGTGTTTATATATATATATAAACCTGCAAAATATATATATATATATATATTTTGCAGGTTTATTCTAGAACAGTCTGGTTGCAATGGAAAGGAGATATGTTGCCATTTCAGTTATTATCTATAGAAATATAACAATATGAAAGTATAAAGATATCGATAAATAAGGGAAAGAAAGAAAGAGGAAATAAAGGACAAGAGTACATAGTAGACAGGAGAGATATCACCACGTGTGGACCCAACGACAAGACCTGGTTGAAGTGATGGTCACAATCTTGATCCCTCAGGGCTGGGGAAAGCCCACAAAACAAGGAGTGTAATGGGTATATATATATATATATGTGTTCAGGCTCAGATGGGAACGCCCAAGTACTTCCCGTGGTGGGAGAGGGTTTTACACTGTCTGATGCAACACTGGATCACGTGCAGTTCTCTGGTGGAAGGCCCCTGAAATCATGCTGGGGGCACTTCGGGGGTTGTTGGTGCTGTCTGTCTGTAACTTGACGTCATCTTTGCTTGACTGGTGATATGTGTATGAGCAGTTGCTGCCTTTCCCACAGTTTGCCACAGTGGGAATTTTTGTCCAGATGCATTAACCGGGAGGTACTAACTAGATTTCGCCTCTGTCAGGTCTGGAATCAGGGCCTTAGTGTCACAAATTCCTCCCTTCTGTACTTATCTCAAGTTTCCACTGTGGTGGCTTATCTTATGGCAAGTCACTTCTGTGGCCTTGACAGTGTTTGAGACAGGCAACTGTGCTCTTTAACTCCTTACAGACTGTCAAAAACTTTCAAATTTACTCCAGCTCTTCTGGAATGAAGTGCTCACAGGAACATGATTCTGCTGTTTCTCATTACTGCTTTGCACTTACTTGCTTTCCCTCATCATGGGGCATGGTTAGCTCTCGTTTGGTTTTTGAATGTTTTCATTTTACTGATTTGGCTTTTTCACGGATCACATTGTTGAGAAGTGCTGCATGACAAAAGCTCATAAAATAATTGAAGTTTTGAAAATAATTTTTAATATAAGTAGCTTACAGGTTATTACATTCAGGCTACCTGTTTTCCTTCAAACTAAAACTTAGTTCACTAAGAATTTATTTGCCACTGGCATATTTCTGATTTGTATTATATTGTCTATTAGTACTCACCTGAATACACATAGAATTCTGGTAACTTCAAACCTAGTTACATCAGTACAAGGTGCATCTCTATATAGCAGGAAATTTGAAAGTGTTACCAGGGTTTAAAATGGTAGAAGGCTTAACAAAGACCTCTCTTGAACCTGGAGTGATCTGCCTATTGATGCTTCTTTTTTATAGGTGAGGGACAGGTAGCAGAGTCTGGGAACAGTAGGGGGTGAATTTGAGGCTTTCAAGTTGGAGAATGCCCCATATGAGTGAAGGAAGATTTTGTTTGTGGTGTTTGATTTTTGGTTGGTTTTTTGGTTGATTGTTTTGTTTGTTTGGGTGTTTTTACCCTGTGAAAGTTTAGCCCTGGAATTTTAGTTCATGTTTCTTAATTAAAAATAACTGTATTTAGAGAGCTTGGATGCGGGAGCTGAAATGATGGAAATTTTCTGAGTACTTAGAGATACATAGCAATGTAGCATTGAAGCTGTAGTGAGCAAACCTTTCACAGCATTTAGGCTTTTTATTCCTCACTGTTGGAGAACTGACCGTAGTTTAGTTGAGAAGATACAACTGTGTGATCATGGTGCTTTTGAAGCAATTAGGATAGGTGGCTATTATGACTTTTCTAAAATTAATTTTATAAGGAGGGCAGTGAGGAAAATATCAGTGCTTAAAATTATGTGGTAGTACTTGGATTCAGTCCCAGTAATGGAGAGCAGGATTTAGCTCTTCTAATTTGCTTAGCATCTCTCTTTTCATGGCAACATAAACAACTGAGGGAGCATCCAAATTTATTGTTGAAAAAAAACAGCAAACTGAACCAACTTGCCAAATACCTAGATCTGTTTGTTTCCTTCAGGGACATTGAGATCTTCAGCCTTAGGCACACTCTACAGAATGGACATAACTCTTACTGCTTATGAACAAGAACTCCTGTATTATATTTTTCCAGGTTTCTAAATGATGAACCCGAAAGCTTGGTCTCCCCACTCCTCTTCATTTGTTTTTATTAAGAATTGAAAGTAGAGACATCTTCCTACCACTAGCTACTGTTGTTTTCAAGAATGTTTTCTTATAAAATGGACATGCAAGTTGTAGGCTGAGACTAAGATTGTAGTATTGTAAATGCATCGTGCAACTTTTTATTTCAGAATGTGTCTGTCTATACACACATGATACATAAATGTATCTATACATTTAAATTTCTGTAACATCTGTAACAAAAGTAGCAAATTCTGAGATCTGTGCATACTAGGGAGTGAGGATACAAACAAAGCTGTTTTATCCTCCAAAATAAGGGAAAAAGATGCAGTCTGTGTACCAAACCAAAAGGGCATGAAGGGGTTACTTCACCTTAAGCTGCATGAGATTTCCGACATCGTCCTGCAATAACAATGCTTCCCACATGTCATTATCAGCTTGCTGAGGATATAGGCTGAATTCTGTTCTTTTTCATTGAAGACCAGCTTTAGTTTCTGGGCAGGAAATAACATTGTCTAGCAAATCAAAATTATTGAATGGTTTTATGATTGCTGTAAATGTCTCCATCACAAGTTCTGTGTCAGTTCCCCATCTTTTATTTTTGTTCACTTGAATAGCATTTAATTTTCTTTCATTGGAATATGACATCAGTTAAGAATTTATGTGATACCTCTGTTGAAAGAAAGAAGAGGTGTGAATTGGCTTTTTCTTTGGTAAAAACAAATTTTAACTTTTTCAGATACTGTGGATCAGTGAGGAGGAGAGGATCTACCATGTAAGTAAGTGCGTTCTAATGAAGGTGTCTTCTGCCACTAATCCTCTTTCTTCTATTCCTTAGGTAATTTTTTAAGTGCACTTCACTTTGTGACAGTAATGCAGCTTTGATTTTGTGCCTTTTTCTTCTTCCATTCTAGGACCTTTAGAAAACTTGATATGCCTTTCTAATCCTGGAAGGAATTTAGCTGGAAGAGGTTTTGTATAATATTGAGGAGGGGAAAAGCAGCAGCATGTTTTCCTCTAAAATGGTAACTGTATTCTCAACTTTGTAAGTTATAGCAGCGGTAGACCAGACTGTTTTAACTTCATCACCTAAAGATAACTAGCAGTACGTATATTTGGCTGGATCACTCAATGTGGCGGAATATTTACTCTCCTTTTTCCATCAATAATAATGAACTTGTTCTGTTCTATATTTTTAATTCCCTGTTTCTGCCCTTTTCTCCTTCCTTTTCTTCTCTAGGGTGTCAGTGGAGAAGTGGTCTTCACCACAAAGTTTGTTTTCAGAAAAGTGTGTTTGGTTTGGTAGATGGTGGATTGGTTGGTTTGTTTTTCTGCCTGTAACCACTGAACAGGGTATGGGGTCCCCAGAGCATGCAGCCCACACCTGGCATTTTGCTCCAAACTTTCTATCAGTGTTTTCAGGGGCTTCCTTTCGGTATTGTCCATCTTTATCATAGAAATGGAACAGTTTGTGGTCTGAAGTTTTATTTGTAGCTGATGCTACCTTCTGACTTCAGTGAGTAAATGAGATAACATTTAAGTTAACATGAACTTTTTAATTAGTATGAAGCTTTCATGCTTCAAGCTATACCATTAGCTGTACTGCATGATAATATGCAACTTACTGTCTTAAAAACATAAATCTGACTTGGAGCAGATTTCAGAAGCCAGAACAAGGGATGTAGTTAGGGGCAAAATCCCAACTGAACTGTGGCAAAGAAACTTAGAAGTAGGTTTATTTGCATCTATCCATCTCTATATATTTGTAGTTAATTGCTTCTGTACATAATACAAGTACAATATTTAGATATTAGAGCATCTGAAATACATACAGTATGATTGGATAAATACATGGATGCTATATCATAGCACTTGAAATCCTAGTATTCTTGGGATTTGTGTTATTTTATTTTATTTATAATGTCATAGCATTCTCCATTAAGCTAGAAGGATCTGTCACATATATACCTCACCGACAGCAAGCTGCTGGCATTAGTGCATTTAGATTAGATAGACATTTGGAGCACCATGGATGATAATGAACTGCTGTACTCTATAGGATGCACCTAACATCTTATGCCCGAGAAGCTTGCAGTTATTTTCTAAACGCCATCAGCGCTAAAGACAAATCTAGAGATGAGAGGTGGAAATCCTTGTTTCACTGGAAGGCTTTCCTTAGTAACAAGGTTTATCTCCCAGTTCCTCAGTTCCTAATTCAAAAGTCCTCTAAAAATTTGTGGTTCCACTTTAATATTTCAAAGTCTGTTAAGAGTTGGACTTGACCACTGTAATAATTTTATTTACAAGTAGCAGCACCACATCCACCATTTATACTAATATGTATTACTGCCATTAATGCTATTTTTAAAGAACATATGGTTTGGATTTGTTAAAGTTTACAGAACTGGGATCTATCCAGTAGTGTCTTTTTTTACTACAAAGCAGTAATAAATGCCTTGCAGGTTAGGATGTAATCTAAGGAATGCAACTGTATTGGAATAGTAGGCCTTTTTTTTTTTCCCTTAAAAAAATCAGAGATAATTCTGTCCCGCTCTGAGAATTTATCCATCACAGTTCATTAATGCTACCAAGCCCTATTTTTAGCATTTCCATAGAGTTAGGAAATTAATGTATCCGTCTGGGCTGCAGAAACAAGAAACTTCCTCTAAGCGTGGTTTTGCTTTCAAGGCAAAAAATCTTGTCTCAGTGGGACAAGCAAAGCCTGCCTGTGCTGTTGACAGCTTTTTAAAGGAAAATGTTGCTGATGAAGCTAGAAATTTCTGTGGATAATTGCAAAATTTTCACTGTAATGTAAAAGGCGGTCTCTCTTGCAAAACTGACCAAACAAAAAATTTAAACAGCTTTTTAAAGAATGAAAAGGTCCTTTTCTATACCTTTCTATAGTAAATGCTGTTTGTGCTTATAAAACTGTTTTTTTAAAGTCAATGCCTTGCATCGAAACACTGCCCTGCCCCACTGCATCAAAAAAGGGAGCTGGGAGCAAAAGGGAGACAAAGTGAGAATAAAAAGAGAAGCTGGAGGAAGAGCGTGTCACCTCACAGGAAACTGATGAATGAGGATGAAATGCTGCAATGTGTTAGCTTTCAAAAAGCTGTATTTCAAACACTAACTGCTTCATCTCTAAGTAGAGCACTCAACAACATCACAAAAATAGCTGATGAATAAGAAAATGGTGATGGGAAACGGCATCATTCCCTTCCTTTCTTATCTCCTGTGTTTGCATTTAAACCTCATGCAGAAGGTTTGTTACTCTGCCAAGGAAAAGCATTGCCCTTGACTTCTTTTCCAAAACAGCAAAAAGGAACGGCTTGTTCAGCGTTACATCCAGGTACACCCCATCTTCCTTCTGTGCTGCAGGATCTTCTGCCTGATCTGTTTCATCACTGGTCAGTTTGAAAAGGGCTTTATTTATTACCTGTAAGGCAAAACATACAAGTAACTCTAGAGTCACCAGAGGATGACAGTGAAGAGACAAATAGGAGTCTGAGTGAATTATAAAGCACATGAAGCAATCAATAACTTAGATCAACTGTAAGCAGCACATTACACTCCATGGATGCTTAAAAAAGATGCTGGAGTACTTGTTCTGTAACATGAGAAAAAGCTGTACAACTGCTTGTACACTTGGGTGGTAAGTAATCCTGTTACCCTTGTGTCATGGTTTAACCCCAGCCGCCACCTAAGTACCACACAGCTGCTCACTCATTCCTCCCCTGACTTAGCAACAACTAAAACACCAGTGTATTATCAACACTTTCCTCATACTAAATCCAAAACATAGCACTAACCGGAAGAAAATTAACTACCAGCCAAAACCAGGACATCTTGAAGCCCCTGACAGAACTTCCAAGGGTGGGGCACCTTCTAAAAATAAAATTAAAGGCACTCAAATTATACTTCTGGAATGTAATATGCCTTCTTTTTATGAATTAAGCTCTCCCTTCTTCCCCTTGAGGCTTGAACTGTGGAGCCTTCTTCAGGTGAGGCTGTGGGCTGCATGCATCTCTGTGTGATTTCTGGGAGTAGTCCCTAAGTGATGGAGGATTATCCTCAATAGCCCAGTAGCTGCATCCTCTACTGTGTGCTCCAGCTGTTTGAACTGGAGGTAGTACTGAATGCAGTCTAATGTGTATGTACAGGGCCTAGAGCACTCAGATCTTGAATATGCTGTATGCTGTAGTGATGAAATTTAAGTAGTTTAGGGCAAACCTATTGCTGCTGATAAATTAATCTAGGGAATATCTGCATCTTTCAGTCATACTGTAAGTCCCCTACTAAATATGTCCCCCACATGGGTCTGACTGCTTTGTTCTAGGTAAATTTATTCAGTTTATGAGGCTAAAACTATGCAGGAAGCATGCTTATTTTTAGTGCCAGTAATAGGTACTGTACCTTTCCAATTGTTAGATTGGTGTTGCTTATTTTACTGAAATCTGCCCCCTTCCCCAGCAGTGCCGGCAGTTCCATATCTGCAAGAAGCTCCTGTAGATCAGAGCTGTCTTCTATTCTTAATGCCGGCAGCGTTAATTTAATTTCTCTGCAGAAAAGAGCGGGAAAGAGAGAGGCAAGTGAGTGCTTGTTCTCCACTGTGAAAGCACGGTGTTTGGGCAGTCCTAGGGAATGGCTGGAAGCTGTGAAAACAGCTGCAAGAAGTGCTTTGTATGTGGGGACAGACACCAATGGGTGCCTTGTTACTATTTCCAAGTGTGAACTCACCCTGACTTCACCCTGGGTACTCTATTAAACCCCAGATCATACCACTTCATGGGTCAGCTCTGCAAAGGTACTTGCTTGTTTCCTGGAAATACCCCCAGGTAAAAGGCCCCACCAAAGTTGAGCTTCCTTGAAGTGCGGCCTTAGGGCTTGCAGGGGTTTCTCTTTGTGTTTGGTAGTAAACTCTCCCTGGCTGGATCCAACCCCTGTCAGGAAGCAGGCAGGCCTGTGTGGTGGACCCCAAACCTGTTCATCCCTACCTTGGGGACAGCCGCTGAAGCCAGGCTGAGGACTGCCATGTCAGCTCAGACTCCACATGCTCCAGGTCACTGCCATTGATGGGCTGCAGCAGCACCAGCAGTGCCGTCTTGCTGATGGGGACTTCCACCACAGAGAAAGTCCCACTGGCATCAGTTTTGTGCTGGAATGTCCCCATGATGGACAACATAGGGACCAAGACCTTTGTGTTTGAATCCATCCAGAACTCCTGAGGCTCTTTCAGCTGGAAGGCTTGCTTAACCTTCACTGAAAAACAGATTGAGAAAGAAGAAATTGATTCTTCTTTTTCTTCCCTTTTCTTCCCTCCTCCCCTCTGCCCCTTAGCTGGCATATATGTTTGTTTAAAAACAACATGCTGTGCCTTAGAGAAGGACTGTGAGTATAAAATCACATTTAACTACTGTAAACATATGTATCCTCCCTTTAATATGTCTTCTGGTGCATCACAGGACCCACTGTGACCAAAGCTACTGTATTTCTACTGGCTTTGTGGCCTTTCTTGGGCACAGTGTTCCTGCTTGCTTGGCTGTCTGCTTCCTCGCCGGCTGCCACGTGGCCCCTCAAGGGCTCAGAGGCCTGTGCGGAGGAGGGTCTGCTTGATTTCCTGTCCATCCCTCAGGTGGTGATGATGGCACATTTGGAAGCACATCCATCAGGGCCAGCCCTTACTGCAGGAGCACCCTCAGACAGCGTGGTGGACTTGGGAGAGGGAAGACAGCACAAATTCTGCCTGAGGTCTCACCCTTCATAATCTTAAAAACCAATGGGGAAGGTTGTAAGCATAACACCAAAATGTTGGTTGAGCCAAGGAGGTTGAACACTTACTAAACCTTAACAGAAGTTTCTTTCCTGGTTCACTAGTATGGGAAACCTTGCTCTTGCCTCCCACTATTTCTATGCAGCTTTGCATTTCAACATGTTATCTTCTCACAGCCATAGTTCTGTGCTGTTGCCCAGTTAGGTAGATAATCCTGTTAGCATTGAAGGAACAACTGGTGTCAGCAAGGGGGCGAAGATCAGAAATCTCAAAATCGTTTGGTGGAATTAGGGAATTAGGAAAACAGATGTATATTTTGTAATAAAGAAAGGAACTCCTTACATTAATGTAATTAATATTGGTACATTAATTAAAATAGGAGCTGGTCCAGCTGTACTGTTAACTAATCTATTCTCCAATAAATCCAGATAAATGCTGGACCCTAACATATTTAATAGGTAGTAAGTGGTTTTGCATAGGAACACTTGCCTCTTAAATGAGCTTGCATTAAAAGAACATTTAGACACCTTTACCTACTCTAACTTCACCAAAAGAAGCAGCAGGTAGAGATGGGAAAGGTGTAAGCAAAACAAAGAATAAAGAAGTAGAGCTGTTCACCTGTAATTGCTTTTAAGTAATCTTGGGAAAATATTGCAGAATTGCAAAGCTCTGCTACTGACTTTGGGACCGAGTCCCTTAACATTGTGCCAGTTGAGAACAATGGATAATCAGCACCCCTGCTTTTGAGATGGCTCCCTGCTAGGTGAGGGTCTGGACATCTGTGCTCTCAAATGTATAACTGGGTGGTGCAAACTCTCCTGAAAGTGCTCTAAAAGATGTTAAGATCTTAATATGACTGTTTCCTTCTATAGAAGGTGATGGATGACACATTGGAAGAAATGGTTTCTTACAGTGAGATCTCCCGCATCAGGACATTGAAGAAGCTTTGGGTTTGGGCAACCATTCAGCAACCATATTGGAGCAGAAAAGAAATGTGTCTACACTGTAGGGAAGATAACTGAAGTGGAAAAGGCTGTCAGTCAGAGCAAGGATGTAGCTTGGGAGTGTAAAAGAGTACTTTGCAGTACTAACTTGGGAGTACAGAAAAGAAACATTGGACCTCTCTGCTTCAGGTGATGATCTCCATGTTCTGTAATACAGGCTTCATGCTGGCCTGACAAGCCTAAAGAGAGGATGACTTTCTGTGAAAAGTTATGGCTTCTTACTTAGAAGCAAAAGAAAAAGCAAAAAGCATCTTAACAAATTTCTAGTTAAAACTGAAGCTGTTGAGGATTATCTGTTAAAGACAGTTTAACCAGCAGAAGGTAGAGGTGCTTAAGATTGTGAAGACCCACGGTGCTATTTTTATACATTGCTTTGTAATTCTTTTGTAACTAAAAGGAAAAACCCAAACAACTAAACACAAAGTCTATCAGTGAAACTTACACCTGATGTTCTGCATTGGATTCTAAATGGCAGGCCCTGCTCAGCAGCAAATCTACAAATATGAAAAAAACTGTGTGCAAGTGAAGAACAGATGAGACCACTGGAACATTTAGCTGTTGTCTTGTATGGATTTCTGTCACTTTATTGATACTGTGGCTGTTAATAGCATCTCAGGAGCATATATCGTGTTTCAGAGAAAAAAAACGTAGTTTTTCCTTTCTGCAGCTATAGGGACAGATATCGAGTGTAACGGCATTGGCTGTCATGGTTGCCCCTTCACAACCAAAAGACAAAGAAAATGCTGAAGTCATCTCCTGTGTTTATTAGAAGAGAGTCACTTAACTAATTCATTTGTTCTTGAGCCAATTTTCTCTATCCCATGTGTGGAGACTGTACCCTTCTCAGAGAAAGAAAGTAGTAGAGCTGAGCCAGTGACTCAGACCCTCAAGCATGTGTTCCTAAGCTAATAAAAATTGCAAGTTTCCAATACAGAAGAAGACAAAAAAATTTTCTGCTAAAGGAAAACTGATCTTATGACCATGTTCAAATCTGTAACACAAGAATTATTTTTGCAGTATCATCTCTATGCTCAACCTTACACTGAAGACAAAGCTGATGTTCACAGCTCCCTGAGGAGCTGGGATCAAGTAATGACAGCACCCATGAAAGGCAAAGAAAACCTGATATCCAGTTTAGAGGTAGGAAAATGGAGGCATGAAAGGATTTAATGGGCACCACAACTCTACCTTTAAGAGTAGAGGCCCACTCAGAAACTTAGGGCTCACTGCAAGTTTGAGATACTGTCACAGGGTAGGTAAGCTGTCTAAAGTGTGTGGTCTCTGGTACTGCACTGAGTCACAAGGATATTGGAAAGCATCTCCACTCAGAAGAGAAGGCTCAGTTGTAGTGCAGGGAAATTTCTGGGACAGCAGCATGGAATGACCCTAGGTGACTAAGGTATTGCCTTATTTCTTCCAGATTTGTATATTCTTCCTTGCTTCCATAACTGATAGCTTGTTTGGTTGCTTCCTGAGCAAGATGTTGCCTCCAGACCTCTATGTTTAATAGCCATTAGACAAGTCATGTCCATTATATTTTTTAGCCTTTCTTGTATCTACCTCTGGCCTTCTACCCCCAGCTCCCCTGTGGAAATACAGGTTCTCGGGAAAAGTATTTCTTTGGCTTCCTTTAAAGCTACTTCCTGATCATTTTTGACAGAGGTCTCTCATGACTTTTAGTTCCTTTGCAGCCAGAAATGCTGCGCAATTGTCTCTCACGCACCTTCCCATACCTTTCCTAATCCTTAGCTTACTAGACAAGGAAAATTTCTGCAACACCATCTCCCTCCACCTCCTTCCCATTGCCCTTGCTGGCTTGTGGCAGAGTGCAGGCAGGACCCCCAGCACAGTGGTGGGGAGCAGTGGTCATCTGAGCCCTTCCCTTTCACCACTGGCCAGGAGTGGCCTTGCTTCTTTCCTGGCAGCAGGGCCACACTGCCTGCCCTTCACCCCGCCTGCTCCCAAAATAAGCAGTGCTGCCTCATACCTGCCAAGCAGACGTCCACCGCAAACAGCAGGTCTGCAGATGGATCGATATCTGTCAGTAAGCATTTGCTTTGGCCCTCGCTTTTGGCCTCCACAAAGGCATTTATTTGTTTTGCTGCCTCACTTGGATTTGTGAAGTCAACAGCTCGGGCGTAGAAAGCATCAGCAGAGTGGAGCAAGTCCTGCATGAACAGTTCAAATAAAGGTATTCCAGGGGCAGAGAACAGGCAGAGTGTCTTGGAAAAGAGCAGCTCCTCGTCCCTACTCTTCATGAGGCTTTCGATTGTCCTCAGGCTGGAAAGGAAATTGCTTCCCACTGCCCTGGAAGTGCAGTCAGGGTTTCCAGAGGGGGGAACAAGTCCCAGCAAACCCTGCAAATCAAGTGCTGTTTGGTTTGAGGCACCCAGGTAGAAAGACACCAAGGAACTGTAAAGACTGGTTGGGGACAGAAGCACATTTTTACCCTGCTGCGCTTTCCGCAGCATGCTGTAAAACCGCACTCCCAGGATGTACACCAAGTCCTTCATGTAGCCTGGTTCCTCCTTCCCCCAGCCATTTAGGCTCAGGGGTTCCAACGTGTCCTTGTCATTCAAGTCATTTTCGTAGGCAGGTGTGGTTTGAGACTCAATGGAGATGGGGACAATAGTTTTCATCTTTCCCTCCTGAACCAATTTTTCTGGCTTGTCACAGTCACTCTCGTTGAAAGAAAGCAAATTGAAAGGGTGGACGTAGACCCTGTCACAAGTCACCAGGGTAAGGCAAGCCAACAAACAGAGAAGATCTGCTACCAGATTCATGTTGGAAAATTGCCTCCACGGTGTCTGCTGAAAGAAAAACTGAGGAGAAAAGAAGATTGGTCAGCCTGTTTTAAGTACAGTTTCTCTTAATCACAGGATGAGGTGTTAGTGCTGCATTGGACTTACAAAGGTGGGAATTTCAGTATTTAGTGGTGGCTGGTCAGACTCTGTTCCCTGAAAAGCCCAGGATGAGACGGACACCAGTTTCAATGGCAGCAGGTGGGGAAATGCTAAGCACAGATGTGACTCCATTACCCACTGCAGTACCCCAAAAATTTAGCATGGCAAGCAATATGGTTGCACAGGCTGGTTAGGCCTGCAAACTAGAGCACTCTAGTTCTGCAAAACATTGTAATAATGCAACAACATTTGTTCCTGGGACCTGGTCAGAGCTATCTTTGCAAACTGCCACACTGAGTCTTGCTGACACATGGACGGGCTAAGCCATTTGCCTGCTGTTATGCAGGAAGTGGGTTTGGAAACCAGTTCTCTTAAGGTCCAAACATGGAACAATCCTCTTTTGTATGTCTAGTCAGCAAAATACTTGGCACTAGTAGAGCATGTTACATTTTCACAGCCCAGTGCAAACATTCATTCTAGCTTCTAGGTAAACACACTCCAGGCTCCCTTATACAAATGTGCTAACACTGAAACCATTTTCATAACACCTTTTATATCTGAGTACAGAGTTAGAAGGGGTAAGCTGAGTTTAACTCTGCTGTACACACAGTCTTCTCCTGCGGTAAAAGAGCACCTGCTGCTCTTGTTTTTCCTGAGAAAGCAGAGATTTGCACTGTATGTGGATGTCACTGGTGTTTTGGCACAAAGGATCTAGTGCATATTGGGAATGAGAAAGTCATAGGTACACATAAACAGACACACACAGGTATACCCACTGACAAATTTTACATTTTTAGAATTCTCACTTTTCCTATATCTAATTTTTTGATAACTAACAGTTCTGCAGTAGCATTCTTGGATTTCCAGTATATGACTTTTAATTTCTGTATTTGAAATCCAAATATGTTGAAAATTATGCATCTATAACATTTCTCATTGGCCAAAATTCTGTTATTCAGAGCAGTATTTTTATTCTACTATTAATTTCTTGTTCATTGCAGCTCTGTTCACCTTCTTCAACCCTTTCCAATTTCTGCAGAGCTCATTGAATGGACAGAATGCTATAAGCCTTGTGAGCACCGAAGCTCTGCTCTCTGCTTGCATTCTCCAAGACATTTCAAGTCACACCAGTCTGTCAGATATTGTAATTCCAGTAGCCTTCTGAGAGGACACAGAGCAATGTCTGTCTCACCAACACTTTAATTTACACAGGGTGGAAGTGTTTGGGTTTAAATCCAGCCAAAGACCCGGCACTTTCCCAGCCTGATTTACAATGTATAAACATATTAATTCCCTTGAGGAGTCCCCAAGTGTTTTATGCCTAATAATACTCCAGTTTGCAGTATCACTACTCTCTTGCTCCTCCAAAACCTGAGATGTGTAGATGCTCGACAACTAGACATACCTTGCAAAGTATGTATGCCTGCTCATGTGCACATCTACATTCTCAATCTTTAGACTCTTCTAACAGCTTGGTTTGAAAATGGAGTTTCTGCTGCTGTGATGTCTAAGCGTCTTCCTAGAGAGTGCCTGCACATAAGGCCTGAAACTGTTTGCTCCCCAGAGGCATGAAGGGGAGGACCTGCTGTAGATCTCTGGCCCTGTGCCTTCATCCAAGGATTGTTCTACCCCATTGTGTCCCACCTCATCCTCTAAATTATTTTACAGGCAGCACAGTTCTGCTGCTGTTCCCTCTGCTCCCTGTCCTCTCTTTGCCTCCCCAGCCCTGCTGGCAGCAGGTGACCAGTTAAAAAATTATCTTTGGAGATGCCTTCCCAACTTCATCTTCACAGACAGCCCATCCACTGTGCTAGTGAATTTCTAGACTATGTGATACATTTTTGATATTGGGACAGCTCGGGAAAATGAACCAAAAAGCCACAGATTAGAAGCACTGCCCGCACTGTTCTCTCCATATACAATTCTTTTGAGGCATTTCCTAATCCTTCCTGCAGCAGCAGGGAGGGTCACTCTGTGCCACCCAGGCAGGCTGTGCCACTATGCGCCACTGATGCCCAGTGGTTACTTCCCTACGGCTGCCAGAGCCCCCAGTTCAGCTCTTTTCTCATGAGCAGAAGCAAGAGGAGCAGTTCTCACTGCCAGCACTTGCGCTAAGACCCATCTGTGGAAAGTCTGCCTGGTTTATTTCCCTAAAGAAGACAGCCCCAAGCCCTTCAGAAAAGCATGAACACCTGAGTTGAAAACTAGCATTCCAAGAAAATCCAAGTGCTTACTTGCCTCTGTCCTGGTGTGTGAAGCCCTTCCGCTGCCCCTCCGACACTGTTACCCCTCAGGCGAGCTCCCCACGGTACCTCTTCCCCCTGGGGTGGTGTGACTGCGGGTGGATTTATGCCCTTTCTACCGGAGGGCCCTTTCTACATGTCTGCAGCAGCATTGCGCAAAGCTACTTTACATCACCGGCTGGGGGGCTGAAAAAAGTGAGCTCAGGCCAGACAGGGCCCAATGAAACCTGAGCCCAGCTTAACACCAGCTGTGTAGAAAGTTCCAGGGATGGATACACAACCTTTAACCAGACCCAGCACATCTGTGTAGCCTGCAGTTACACATTTACTAAGACAGACACAGGCATTTTACTATGCAGAATAACTGATTACAGGAGCTGAAAATAGCTCATTTTATGCCAGACTGAAATGAATGCAGATTTCTTTGTATGTATATTTGTTGTACAGTTGGACGAGATTTTTGTCTTCTTGGATAAAGCACCTTTAATCTCTACCTTGCAGCCTCGGTACCCATCAGTGTGTGAGGCATGTACGTTATTACAGAGTAAAGTGACTAAGCTCTCCATTTTTACCCTTTCTTTCCCTCTTGATCTGTCCAGAATGTCAAAGCTTTGTTCTTTTTCCTCTTCAAAACAAAATATGTTGGAAAGAAGAAGATGAGAGCCAGATGGATAAGGTTGCCAGAGCTGGATCATAGAGATTTCATCCCTCTCAGTCTCAGCCTTCCAAGTCCTATTTGGCAAAAAGGGTGGGATTTAGAGATCTTTCTGCTGCTTTTGAAACTATCTTCCAATTTTGGTGTGCCCCTTCTTCCTCTTTAAGCAAATTAACACTGAATCAAAACAGGGATAATGTTTAGATGGTTACACTGGATCTCGTTCAGTGCCCCTGTTATGCTTAGTAATTATAATTCCACGGCTCTAACAGGAGTAGGGCGGATTTGTCATCTATGCTTTGATTTTAGAGGGCCAGTCAGGCATGATTTGTACTGCAGTGCCCAGTTATATGTTGGGTTCAAGGAGAGAGGCTCTAGAGATGGATGTTTTCAGTGCACCTGGCCAGTGGAGCTGGTGGAGATGAAGGTGGAGACAGAGACAGCTGAGTCCTGCCAGCCCAAGGGCTGTGTGCCAGGTGCCTAATGCCAAAGAGATGGGAAATTTCAGTCTCTGCAGTCTTGCTTTTCATTTAAATAAACTGACTAGCTTTGCTCTAATGAGGTCTGAAAGTGGTTCTGAGCCCAGACTTGTATGAGATGCCATCATGCACTGAAGGCTTAAACAAACAGCTTGAAATATTCAAGGCGTTTTGTCCTCTTGCTGCCTGAGCATCTCAGTTAAGTAAGCTTCTGGCTGCAGAACAGTCTCTGAGCATTTGTACCATCTCCAGACAGGTATAAAATGCATGCAGCTCATCTACGTATATAGACAATAGGAGAAGTAGTTCCTCCGTGAAAAATGCATTTTGTTCAGCTAAATGTTAAGAGAACGAGATACGTTTCAGGTTGCAATCCCCCTTCTTTCCTCTCTCCCCTAGAGAGTCCTTCCTACAGGCAGGTTGGGGGAGACAGCTGGTCCCTTAGAGGCCAGGGGAAGTGTGGGTGGGACATGAGCACAGGCCAAATCTCTATCTCCAGCACCACCACCCATGCGGGTTCCCATGAGGCACTAGGCATCTGCAGCGTGCACAAATGGCCAGACAATGCCAGGTCTGTGAGCTATAGCTGGTCTGCTGTGTCCTCCTAGGTGAGGCCTGAATACAGGGAAAAAGCAAACCCAGCCTGGCTGAGGACACTCTCTATACTAAGGTTACTCTCTGTATTGAGGAAACACAAATGACGGCTGTTTCAGTGAAGGGCACTTTGTGTTCTGTAAAACTCTGAAAAGTATCCTTATTAAAAAGAATTATTGCCTTTGACTAATAAGCTACAAGTGATGCTAATAACATATAGTACAGCTGCCAGACTTACATGTTTGCTGTGGACAATAAACCCTGGAAGGGGAAATCACAAAACATGCAGCCACTGTATGTTTTTTTTCCCTGAAATCATTACGCCCCTGTGCTGTAGCACCCTTAGGGCAGTGTCGTTCAGGTATCTCCTACTTCCAGCTCCCCTGCAGGTCATGACCAAGCTATGCTGCAGCTGGTGGTCTTCTTTTGCTATAGGTACCAGCCCTAAGTCAGGCATCCCTGGTTGCAGGGGATGTTGCCCTGCAGAAGAGGGGGAGCAGGAGGCACCTGAACAATAACTCCAGCATGGTGGTTTGGTGGCTCTGTCACATAAAACAAAGTTCAGTTTAGTTGAATGTTCTCAGGTTTTTCAGACAAGTTGACCTTTGGGTCTCTTCTGGTGTTTGCACACTCAGTTCTATTGTTTTCTGTCAGTAAAAAAATTGTCAATGCCCTTGAGAAGCACAGAATTCTATCTTCCCCACTCTTCCCCGCCCTCCTCCCCCCATCCATAACGTCATCAAATTATAATACCCAGCTTTCTCCAGAAAAAAAGTTTTATGAGGAAATATTCAGTGTCCTGGTTTCACCACAGTGCTCCTCCTGCTTCAGACCACCGGGAATTTGGCTGGCTTCAGTAATGAGGGAGAACCTTTGATTTCACCTTACGTTCATGCCCTACTACAAAGCTCAGACACAGCTCTCCCCTCATTTGCCAATCACTTATGCTCACTCAATTAATATTCCCCTATTAAGATGCATCACACACTAGCGCACTTCTTAGATCTTTGTCTTTTATCTTCTAACAGTTTCTACCAAAGGAGAAGGTTTCAGACTATGGAGAACATAGCCTGCCACACCCGCAACATATTTTATCCTGGTTGTATGTAATTACAGTTAGTCTTTCATTTTACTTCTGAGCCATTTTTAAGCAGGAGTGCATGAGCATTATTCCAATTACCAGATGTGGATTCTGTTGTGAGGCTTTTTTCTTATTGGGTTGGCATGGGTTTAGGAATGAGCGTGCACTTAAAGATAAAGCTTCAACTTCAGAAAGAAGAGTCTCTATCCTGCCCTTCAGCTCTGTTGTCCAAGGATTTTGTCCCCTAAAGAGAGCTGTGCCAGAAAACCCGCTTTGGGCCAAACTCGGACAAAAAGCTTTCTGGCAAAAAGGAACCAAAGGTGAAAGAAAGGCTGTTTCTACAAGCATCCCCTGTGCAAAACTAGCTCATGGCCCACACATTTCCTAATGAATCTCTCCCTGCAACAGTCACAATAAAGGTACAAAGAAACATAGACCTCTCAAACCTGTTCTTCAGCGATGAGGTTCGTGCTCTCCTTTTGCCCCACTCTTTGCAATTTTGGAGGGGTACTCTGCTCCCCCTTTTATACCCACTCTTGCATAAGATGGGCCTGCCTCCCTCCCCCCCTCCTCTGCCCTCATTTCTCTTCAAAACCTGCCTCTGTTTTTCCTGCTTGTTATTCATGGTTGCTGCTGAGAGCCAGCAAAGAGGGGTGGAAAAACACTGGTGCTGTGGTTATGGGTTCCCTCGCAACCGTGCTCAAAGGGATCAGATCTCCTGGTCAGCCTTATTTTTCTGAAGTGCTAATGCTGAAGCATTTCCCTGCCTCAAGAAAATTTCTCGTTGATGGTGCTCTAGTACTTCTTCTTGTATATACTGCCAGATAGGCTTCAGAAATTTTAACCCTGGCAGAGGAACACTAACCCTAAAGCCAGCAGCACGTAATTTGGTCTTGAATGAGAAAATTATTTTGTCCAAGCTAGAATTTCGATTGATTCTTTTGCCAAAGAACATTGCGTCTCCACTCTGTCAAAAAGTGTTCTCATTGATCCAGATTGTTCTGGGAAGAGCTATATAACATTCAGTGTGTGAAGACAATAGTAAATATTTTATTCCGGTTCATTTAGTTTGTTTTCCAGTTTTCCCAAATTTTGCTTTGAGACCTAACTCAAAAGGGCCAGACATACTTCTGTGATGATGTTCTTGTCTCCTGTGAAGTGGGAGCCCTGGAGGAGGGATAATAAATTACTCTGCTTACAGCCTCCGACTACAGACCTTCACATGGGGTCTTCCGAGCTTGATTTGATATGTCTGACATACATAGATTATGAGTAAGTATATGCCTAATTTAGAAATAATACCATGTATATGGTCATATATAGTTCATTACTAAATTTGAGGTTTCCTTTTATTAAGCCTAAAAGTTCCTTGAGTGAGAAATAGGCCACAAACAGTTGTTTATACAACTTGTGGACTGGCATTGGTAATCCTAAACCTCTACACCCCATCAACATCCATATAGTTTCTTCTCTCATCTGCTTTGGTAAGGGAACACAGCCTGGGGTCTGAACAAAGCTTCAAATGGAGAGGGCAAACAGGCACTGGGAAAAGGACAAGGGAGGAGAGGAAAAAGAGGATGCCTGTGTGGGAGGATCTGACCAAAGGAAGATCAAGGACTATTGCTTCATTGGCTGGTGCGCCACACCCCACATGTGGCAGTCAGTTGTAACCGTGGAAGGACCATTGTTTGCGAGACCTCCAGGAAAAAACTTCGTAGAGCAGTAGAGTGCTTATGGAGACCAAGATGTTTCAATTTGGAAGAGAACTGGTATGGGAAGTATAAACGTAAAATGATGAAGGTGAACAGAAACTCCTGAATCAGTCTTTTGTAACATTTACTGGGAACCAGTGGGTTCCCAGTAAAATCATCATACAACAAATGTAAATGAAAGGAAGGGCTCTTTTTTATGCATGAACTGCAGGAGGCACTGCCATAGGGTGCTGCAGAGACCAAAAGTCTTGGTACAAAAAAAGATCAAATGAAATAACAGAGGGCATGGTCACTGGCCTCTGCAGAACATGACGGTCCAGATGTGACTGCTGACTCGGGAAATCTCCAGACACTCAGCAAACCTGACACTCAGCCTCAGCATTGCTGGGATCTGTTCCTGTGCACAGAGGATTTAGGAACGTACTACTATCTCTTCAAAATCAACATAAGCCCTGGAAAATATATGATTTCAAAAAACTGTGGGTAGGCTCTTAATATTAATTAGCCACTTTTCCATTTTTTCTTTTTTCATCGGTGTACACGTACTAAATGGTGGCAGAATTACTGCACTGAAGTCTGAAATGTTCTCTGTCTCTTGCCAGACTTATGGGCTCTGTTCTCACTTCAGCTGCACACAGAGGATTTGGTGGCTTTTTCCAGAGTGAATAAGTAAGGAAGAAGGAGTACAACTCTGGCAACATGTCAGGCAAGTTTCTTTACATTAGTAAACCAATTTTCCCCCCATTCTGTGAAAATTGTGGCAAGCTGCCATGGGCCTGATTTTGTTTGTTTATTTTTGCTATCTCTGGTGTGGAACAGTTGTGTGAAATAATTTTTTTTAACTGTTTTAATAAAACAGGAATAGGTTTGCCTGTGATTTTTCCTGTGTTTTCTCTGTATACCTGACCTCTGCCCTTGCTAGCTTAAACCACTTTTCTGTGAAAGCTGCTGGTGAGCATGAGGGATGTACTCAGCTTGCCCAATTTTTTGTGTAAAGAGGATTGCAAAAAAGCTTTTCAATAATAACATTCAAAGTACAGATGATGAAAGAGAGAGATTATCCTGCTTCTGCCATTGGTCCTCACAACAAGGAGCAATGGAAAACTTGGTAACATGGCTCCCATAAACCCCAAGGACCACATGTGCCATCCCTGTGCAACCGCATCCAAATTGTCCCCAGGGCACTTTGCACAATAGTTGTTGTCTCCTAGCCTGGAAATTCAAAGCATAGCCGTAGAAAGACCTTTGGAAGATGGAATATCTGTGTTCCCTCTTCATATTCTCCCCAGCCTCTCTCTGGACACCTCCACTCCTCTGCCTGCAGCTACTTGCCCTGGGTGGGCAAATATTTGCAAACAGAAGGACTCCACTATTTTGGCTGCTATTTGGTGTTCCTCCGAGAAGACTGTCTGTGGTGGTCTCCTGCCTCACTTGAAGAGTGGTTTTAATCATATACAGTTTATGCATTCATTAATGAGAAACAGATGTCTCCTTCCCTGCTGCAGGCATTATGGGACTCTTCCATTTTCTGGAGTTGTAGCAGGTTCCACTTAGCCAGCCAGCTACAGAGGCAAAACTGCAACTCTCTTGGGCCAGCAGCAGCGATTTCCAGTGCTCCAAATGTAATCTATAGTACAAAAAACGACAGACCCTTTTGCAACCTAAGAGTGAGGCTTTCAGATTTGTTTTAATTTGAAGGGTGCACAACTGACGACAGCAAAGTGTTTGGCTACACTGGATTCACTCCTGCTCTCACATCCTGGTAGAAAGAAGAGAGACTGAGCCAGGCAGCCTTACGTTAAGGCTGCCCAGTTTATAAGAGCCTTGCAGGACCTCTCTTTTCGGGGCTACTAGATGGACTCACCTCCTCCAGGACCAGCTCCAGCCCTGCCACGCAGAAGTGGGAATCAACTTCCCACGCTAGCGCCCATTTGGAACTATTGGCCAGTCTAAATTTTGCAGAGAAAGGAGAATGGGGTGCAGCCAGGCGCTGATCCAGCCGGCTGCAGCGCCTCAGGGACCGCGGCAGATCCCCGTCTCCTTAGCCAAAGCTGCCGCCGTGCGGAGTCGCCTCCGCATCGCTGCTCCCGGCTCGGCTGGGGCTGTCCCAGCCAGTAACATTTGGAAATGTTATTACCTTACTGCCCTTTGGCAAACCAATAATTCTGAAAGCAAGAGGAGGGGAAAGTTAAATTTATACCCAGTGATGTGGTTTTTGTTTTTGTTTTTGTTTTTTCAGGAAATAAAAGAGCTCGTAATTGAAGTTTCTGGGGTTTCAGTAAGTGGCAAAAATCCAATTTCTTGCAGATCGGAATTTCCTGCTCTTTTGTTTTTACTGGATGATTTTTAAGCAAAGGCTCAAATATTTGCTGCAGTTTTGGGTTCGTTTTATTTTTACTTTGCTTTATTTTTCTACATTTTCTATGCTAACTGTAAAACCATGAAATAACAACTTAGCTTACTGCTTGAAGAATAAATCTGAGGAACAGTATGTTGAGCCTAGAATATTCCTAGTGAGAAAAGAATTAATATTGCCTCCTGGCAACACAGCCTGATGAAAGCCCCTGAAAACCCTAACTCCTCCCCTCAAAAAAAAAAAAAAAAAACAACCAAAAAAAACCCAAAAAAACCCAAAAAAAACCCCCAATGACTGCTCTTATAGCTATTCTCCCAGGAAAAGCTGAGTTCTCTTAGGGATTGCCTTGATTCAGGGTGTTGAAGACATGCTGCAACTTGGCTCCTCTCCCACACTGCCACTTCGTGTTTCACAGTCTAAAGAAAAAGAATAAAAATAATCTTAAAAGCCCTCTTTTGTTTGTAAAACTGCCACTCCTCCAAAGTAATGAATTAATGCAGCAGTCTGTGCTTAGCTCTGACAAAAGCCTGGAACAACAGCTCGGAAAGCTGTGCTGTTTGGCTGGGTAAAGTACTTAGATGGCTGCCTAATGATATTTCAGCAGCCAGCACAGATAATGTTGTTATTACTTACCAAAGCACACAAGAAGACATGTTTCATATTTCTTTCTGGGTGTGCAAAAGGGATTGTAGCCCACCAGAGATGTCGGGCAGAAAGAGGACAGGCAGAGCAGAGCTGCCTCCCGGTGCTGGAGTGCTGTAAGCATCAGGGTAACTTGGGCAAGGTGGGCTGTGATGTGGGAGCTGCCTCATGGGATCACCCCCACTCAGGGCAACAGCTCAGCACCCTCCTACCCTCGGCCCTGCGGTGTTTCTGGGCCAAGTCAGCATTTCATAGCTAGGCATGGCAGTGGGCAGTGATGGCAAAACTGTAGGTAGTATAAGCACAGATTAGTCCTAAGACTGCATTTGGGATTGATTCCTCTTTAAGAGAAGAACCCATTGCTATTGCACAGCACAATGAAAGCAGCCAGGCTGTGGCCTCTGGCCGCTCACCACTATGCAAAATGATAATGAAAATTCACTGTAATTTTAAGATCCTCCTTTGAGTGAAATTTTGATATCCTGCAAATCATCAAAGATATTTTTTTCCTCTGATCAGCAGGATTTTCAAAGAGCACTTCTTAAAAACCCTCCCCTTGATTTTCAGTACCCTTTTTCTCACTGCTCTCTAGCATTTTTCATTAGGTTGTCCATAATATTTTGTAGGGACATCCAGTCCTCAGACCATCCTGCTGACCTTTCTCACATTCCATCTCTTTGCCTCACTTCTGCCTCGGGAAATGAGGGAGAGAAGGATGCTCTAGCCCCCCTGTCAACTCCAGAGAAAGTGTGTATTACTTTATTCCTAGAAGATGACACAAATGTCCTTAAAAAACAAGCCCCAAGCTGGACTCAATTTTATCCGGTCTC